AAAACCATGTGTGATGTGACATCCAAAATTGGACCGATTTGATCATGACTTGACCCGAATTATGTGATTAAACTAGCGAAGATTGACTAAAATCTCTAAGATATATTGTTGCGTAAATAAACGACATCTGACTTGATTTGCACATATCTATTTTGAATTATGGTAGATTTAATTTGAGTCCTACACGATTAAGGAACCCATTTTTTTATGGAACATAACACTAATCCTTTATAAATATGTAATTTCACGTTCACTTTCTAAATAACATCTTTTACTTACAAAAAATTATTGATTCGGTAACTGAACTGAGTGTCAGAGTGTCTCTGTTTTGTAAGTTGATATGATTTGTGATTCGAGATGAGATGGTTCGACCAGAAATCTTCATGAGCGATCATTCAACCACATCAATTTATATAATATGTTAACCTTATGCCACATAAATAGATGAACATATTAATTCGTGTCCATTGTGAATAGAAAAACAAGACATAAGAAATTAAATAAGTTTTGTATAAATTATAATCTCCATGAAAATGACAAGAGAGATGGCTGGGTTACTCCAAACTTCACAAAAATACGAAACAATTAATTACTTAGGAGACATCATTAGGATAATAAAAAAGAAGAAAATCTAAGAATGATTAATCTTAATTGACTGTGATTATTTTTCTGTCTCCGTTTAAGATTTCTGATTATTTTTCTGACATTGACAGGTGACTTCATCCGTGAAACGAAAATTAATTCAAAAAGCGAACACAAAGAATTGAGTATAAAACTATAAATTATAAAACCAAATGTCCAAAAGAACACAATATGTCTATTTGCAGATTTGAGCCAATTTATGTAGAGATTTATTTTCTAATTTCTATTGCTCGGATAATAATATCGGTAGGTGAGAAATTTTATCTGTATTGAATTCTTTTACGACATATACATTGGATTTGTAGAAAGCATTTTGGTAACTCATTATTTCCTAAATTTATTCTTTTAATTCTTTGCTACTGTAATTCTCCAAGAAATTATAGATCCAGACATTTTGAGAAACTTAACAATACTTATTCACTAAATTCAACTATATTTGTTACAAGTGGTAAATTCTCATACTTGAAGATCCAAAATAAATTGACAAAAAGGACTTCCAACAATGGAAAAATGGACTAAATGAGAGACTAGCCAATGAGGTGATAAAGTAGAAAATTTTCACTTGATTATCAGATCTTTAAATTAAATTAGAAATGTTAGGCAAATCATACCAAGATATTTGTCAAAATACAGTTAATTAATTTCATCATATTTTATTTCGATTTAGGACGATTCTTGAAATTATTGATTCATAACATGCATGTCAAAAATTATAATAAAATATGTATTTGTATATATTCCCCCTATATATAATTCCTGAATGTGTTGAGCTCAAGTGTCAGACTCGCATCTTTCGTGATCCTATATGACAAAATTTTCATGGTTTGTGACTTGGATTGAATGAATTTTAATTTACTTTCAATCCAAAAATAATTATGTTTGGAATAACTATAAATATACTATATATTTATGGTCTTTTTTTAAAGCATTAACAATGTTACATTTCATAATCTAGACGTAATTTATAAGGTATAAATTTTTTCCTCAATCTTTCTTTTTTCCTCATCTTTCTTTTAAAATCATGAAAAAATTACTAATTTAAATTATGAATAGATTTAAAAGTTAATAAATTTTTTTGTTTGTTATCAGTTTTTTATACATAATATTTGAAATTAATCATGTCTTGATGAACTCTAATTTAACACCTATATTGTACATACAAAATATATAAATAATTAAATTTTTATCGATAATAAAAATTAATTACCTATTAATTAATTAAAGAAATTAAATTATTGAAATCAATTTAACTACAAAGTTGTTAAATGATAATTTTAAATAATTATTATAATATAAGATGGAAAATCTTACAAGGATTAGTGTTATTTTAAATATAAATAGTAAAATAATTATTCAATAAAGTATTTTATGATTAAAATAAATTTATTATTATTATTTTTAATTTTAAATATAAATTTCTTGACCAACACCCGTATAATACACAGACGTTGTACTAGTGTATTGTGATTAAGGTTACCTTTGGTAGACCTCTCTCTTTCCGCTAGTTAACCGCTTGTAATATGTGTTTATTTATGAAGTCTATGATTTTTAAAGGGTTAATTGCTTATAAACCCCCAACCTTTTGTGTAATTGTAAATTTCAACCTTGTAAAAAATACCACACATTTATTATCTATTGCAATTTTGCCTCAAAATTTGAAGGTTGTTCGGAAGACATGGTAAAAGCACGGTTGGATTTAGATATATTTCTCATAAGAGAAGAACATTTTCCGACCAAGCCATGCTGACATGTCCGATCGGAAAATGACGTGGCACTGATTATGTATGTGGGGCACTCAACATTTTTTAGTCCATGCCACGTCAGCTGGCACGTCAAAATCCACGTCAGATTTTTTTCTTCTTCCTTTTCTTCTCTAATTGCCCCATTTTACCCCATTTCTCGTTTTCTTTGTAATGGCAATTTCGTAATTTAATATTACCAATCCTAACAAAAGAGAAGGAATCCCCCAAAAACATCCCGATTTATCTGCCCCAACAAAANAATCCGTTCCAAATCGCAAAGAGAAGGGATCTCCCAAAAACATTCCGAATTATCTGCCCCCACAAAAATTCTGAATCGCCAAATCCTTCACAACGCGACCTCCATCGATCAACCACGCAATCGGTCGCCTACCATAGGATTATCATTTATCAAGCAAGTGATAAATATTGCGTTTTTATTTGGTGTGGGTGGTGAAGAAGCAGAAATTGTATGGCGCCCATATGGGCACCATATGATGCCCATATGGGCGCCATAGAATTTCTGGGTGAAGAAGACATTTTCTTGTCATTTTTTTTTCCAGGTGGATTTTTGTTTTTATTTTTGTTTATGGGTTTGTGGTGTCATGAATGTTGGGGTCTTGATTCTTGGTTTTCATTGTAGATGGCACATGTTTGAGCTTTATGGGATTTGTATCTAAGCTCTTCGTTCTCCGATGTTGGTCCAGTACCATATGATGTTTTTATTGGTGTGGGTGGGGAAGAAGACATTTTCTTGTGATTTTTGTTTTTTTGGTGGAATTTTGTTTTTATTTAAAAGGAAAAAAAAATCTGATGTGGATTCCGATGTGTCAGCTGACGTGGCATGGACTAAAAAATGTTGAGTGCCATGCATACATAATCGGTGCCATGTCATATTTCCGATCGGACCCGAAAACAAATTGAGATAATTATAAGACATAATAAAGGTTTTGTATTTTTTTAAAGTTGAAAAAATTGAATTTTATTTATAATTACACAAAAGGTTGAGATTTTATAAGCAATTAACCTATTTTTTTTTTAAAAAAAAAACTGATACAAATAAGTAGAGAATCACTATTCATCATTTTAATAAAAAAAAATAAAAAATAGCTTTACTCAACTTCTACCCTAGTGGGATTTTTTCGGCTGTGCCACAAAGTACGCCACGTGTGCAACCTGCAACCTATCATGCGCCCTCATTCATTCATGGGTGCTTTACCTTTCGGTACAGTACATACAGTACCATCAGTATAAAAAAACAAACAGCGCCTAACGACCAATCAGATTGCAGCAGGCGAATCAAAATCAGATCCCAATTTCGTAATTAAATCCCAACTCCAGTGGCTGAAAGTTAAGGAAATATCCCTAAACCCTAAAAGATATTAATTGAAAAAATTTAAATATATTAATCAGAATCTCCAAATCCGAAAAAGTGGGGCCCGCAAGTTTTGCCTGCCTGACGCATGACATGATGGCAATGTGCCTTTGAGTCGCTACTTAAAATAGACACATTATTTACTTTTATTTTTTTTCCCTATGTCTAAACTCTCAATAAAGAGATTAATTTTTTATTATTTGAAATTAGATATAATGTTTTTTTTCTCAATTAATTATAATAATTAATATTGGGTTTTTTCTTATTTAACCTTGGATAACAATATAAAAGCATAATCCTAAAGTTACAATGATCTAAATTAAAGAGTGTATTTGGAAATGTATTCACAAAGTTTATTTGGCTATTAATGATTGTCTTTATTGGGTTTTCTTTAAGGATCATATTTAGAAAATTTGTCGTACTTTGGATTTTTATTCTATGAGTATTGAATCATCATGGACTTAAGCAAACAACTTAGGTTGGATTGATTGAAGTTTAAAATAATTATGATGAGTTTTAGTGTTTTACGCAGATCTAATACTTAAATAATTATATTTTTCAGTACAAATATATAATTTTAAATGAAAATGTCAAATTTAAAAGGCAATATAAATAGAAGTATAATTTTTAATGTATAAGTATGCGATCAACCCTGTAATAATTATACCGGCTTATATAATAATTTGTGTTTGAAGAAAAAAGGAAATATCAATATTATGTTATCATGCCACAAACTATCGAATAAACGAAGTCAATGAAAATATTAGAAACCAATATATTTCATTTTATTTTAAAAACCATGACTTGTTAGACAACAAAATATATATAATATGAATGTATGAGTCACAATTGAATCCAATTAACTAACTTCACCACAATAAATTGTTTACTAAAAAAACTTGTAAACATGTCATGCCCCAATTGAAACATCAAACCTAATCACTCGGTAAGTCACCAAACTCCACTAGATAAAATCATAGTAAAACCACTATAAGGAGCCACATTTATAGATTCCTAAATTTATGCAATGACAAATTCATATAATTTCCATCATATTCTCATTTGACATAAATGATGGATATTAATAAAGGTGGGCAGTTTTTATATTGTGGCATTAAATTTTCATTAATACCATTTCAAATAAGAGAGAAAATTTCGCTTTGTTAAGAGCTTTCACCAAATTTTTATCATTGGATTATATAGATTTACACATGTACTTGCACATGTATGAGTCGATCAAACAGTAAAAAGACTGGTACTTTTTTCTTTTATTTTTTTTTTATTATTGGAAAACTCCATAATTAAATTAAAAAAATTATGGAGAGTTTATACCTTTTTTTTTTCATCCTCTTCAACTGAGTAAGTTGAGAGAGAAAAAGCAGAGAATAAAAAGAGACCAGATGTTGACAAATTTCGTGTCACTGTTCTTGGAAGGTCGTTTGTTTGTGTGGAGATTTCTTATCTGGGATATCTCTTAAACTCTCTCTCTCTCTATCTATCTAAAAAATGATTATTAAATTTTGATTAGTATTAAATATATACAGTTGCAAAGAATTCATTTTTTTCCCTTTTAATATTTCCTATTTTTCCTCACATTCTGTCTTTGTAAAGGCTTTGTAGCTTTCTCTTCAATAGAGAGAGAAAGAGAGAGAGTGTGTGTGTGGCCCAGCAGATCGAAAGATCTCTAGTTGAGGTTGATGAGGATCTGAGCTTCTTTAATGGAGTTATCAAGCAGCCCACTTGCTTGTATCTTTGTTTCACTTTCCTATTATTGAGTATTTCTTTTTCCATTTCCCCTTTTAATGCTTTTTCCATTTTTCTCATTTGGTATAGTGTGAAAGCCTCTGAAAAATTTCACAATTCTTGGTCCGTGTGTACTTGGAGATACAACTAACTGGGAGATTTAATTTAATCCATGAGGGTTTCTTGAGGAGGTGGTTTCAAGATGTGGGTCTGAGGTAATTTTTCTTTTCTTTTTTTGTTGTTCTGTTTTTTAATTCAATTTTGCCATTTTTTAAGATTTGCTTGGCTTTGACTGAGGCCCAGATGAAGAAAATCAGTCATAAATTGTATTTTACTTCTGATTTTGCACTTGTGATTATTTATGGTGGAGTTATAATTATCTGTGAAGCATNTTGGGTTTATGCAATTTCCCTTCAGCAACAGTTGCTAATGTGTTGGGCTATTTATTGGGAATTTTATTGGATGATATATGTTGGGTTGTTGGTTTTGGTGTGTGATCATTCACATAGGATCTGTATTCTGTACATATACTCATTTTGCAGGTTTGCAACTCCTTTTTTGTGTTGGTTTCAAATTTCAATGGCATGTTTCAGATTTTAAAGCATTTGTTGAAGTGAGTCGAGCATTTAAAAGATTCGTAGTTCATTGCCATGTTATGTTGATGCATTTTATTGAAAAAAAGATTAATCTGACACCATTCCAATCTCATTATCCCAGCCACTCATAAAATGTGTACTAGCTAAATGAATACATGAAATGTGGTAGATGAATTGGAATTTGCTAATCATCTGGTAGACTTAAGGTAAATTGCTGCTTTTGTTTTGCATTAAATTGCTGTTCCTTATACAGCCCAAATTTATTTGCTGCATTGAGTATGTCTATAAGTGGATTCGTATTGTTCATGGAGTGATTCTGGACATATCAAACAAATTGCAATAGTGTGATTCCAAATAAAAAGGGGGAGATTTATTCGCCCTTTTGATATGTGGGACAAGCGACTGTTTATATTAAACATATTTTCTGAATTTGAGCCACTGTTTTCTCATCTGTGCTTCTTCTTTTGTAGTTTACCATTTTAATGCTTCATTAAGTGTTCACACATTGTATTTCATTTAGAAAATATGGCAAGGCTTTGTTGTAGGTGATTGTCAGGCTTGGCAAAATTTTGAAGTCATGAAAGTCCCTGTATTTTTTAGTACACTACACTAATTTCCTTATATTTGATGGTACACGTAAAATTTGTAAAAATCGACATAATATATAACAAGTCAGTATTGATAAAACAATCAATGGCTTGTTCAGATCATTGTGAACTTTTGCTGTCTATATTGCGGTGTGTCCTTATTAGTTAAGAAATTAATCTTTGTCCACTGGGAAGGATAAATGTAGTTATGCTATGGCAGAAAGAGTTTGTGGCATTACATGCAAATTAATGTAATTTTTCAACAAGAACACTATGTATCTATTTGTTATAATCATTAACTGTAAATATCAGGGACTGTGTACATTCAAATGTGCCGAAAGATGAAAAATGGTGCAATATGTCCCCATTTACAATGTAACTGTTAAATGACTGACTTTTTAGATAAACATATCCTCTACAGGAATGGGAACAAAAATACACTGTGAAAGCTACTTGCCGGAATTTTACTCGATGAGGGATCTTAATGAGAATTCTAGCATTAGTAGTTGGCCCTTTTTTTGCGGGGATAGGAATTTACCAAACGGGCAGCATTGCAATGGATTCATGCCTAGAAGTTCAGTCGATGGTTATCCAGTGCACGAAAAGGATGCTCTGAAGCAAAAAATTCTCGAACATGAGGCCGTATTTAAGAATCAGGTACCTTTTTAATATTATTATTCTACTCTAAAAGCACTAATTTTAGAAAACACTCCTTAAGACAAACTATTTATGTTAATCTTACTAAATTCTCAAATGATTGAATGAAATACATCAGCCCATTTTTGCTTTTTAATGTTTTTTTTTTGGGGGGGCATTTTAGGTGTTTGAGCTCCACCGTTTATACCAAATCCAAAGGGACATGATGGAAGAAGCCAAAAGGAAAGAGCCCAATAGAAATCGGGCTTCAATGGAGCCCGCTGCTTCATCATCAAATCTTCACAATGAGGAGGCCAAAAAGAAATGGCACATGGCAGGTTTTTCTCTACCGAATTCTAGTTATTGCAGAACATCTATTCCGGGGTTAGAAATCGTCAATTCTCCCACGAGTTGCTTGAGAATAAACACACCACAGCCCTGCGGTAAGCCTTTGTTTGAGAACGGGCCCACTTCGAAGGTGGACTCTGACGGGCCAAGGCCCACTAAGGTGAGGAAGAGATTGTTTGATCTTCGTCTTCCGGCTGATGAGTACATTGATATTCAAGAAGGGGAGAATTCTAAAGAGTGTAAAGAATCTCATTTATTGGGTTATAATCCAAAAGCCCGGCCCGAAAGTAGTACAAAACAACTATTCATTGGTGGTAGTGGTTTTAAAGGTTCTAATAATGGTTTGGCTGATTTAAACGAGCCCATTATAATCGATGACGATGATGATGATGATGAGGGTCCATCATCTGTCGATTTTCTTGGCAAGGCTAAAGGGATCCATCAGCTTGCTAAGTCTAGTGCACGCAATGGATTTTCGGTAAATTCATCTTTTGAAAGTAAAGTTGGTACAAGAGGACTGCTCTCTCATATATCTGAAGCAGGTAAAGGTCTCATTTTTCGGTTCCATTTTTTTTTTAAAAATAAAAAGTAAAAATCTACTCGTCTGTTTTTACAAATTGCTCATTTCTTCTATGGATTAATTGCGCAAAGTTGTATGTACAATAACACAAAAAGTTATTATCTTAGTTGCTCAATTTACTTTCTCCCCTATGAACGAAATAATACCGTGTAAGTCAAACTTCCTTCTCGATTTTGAACTTTTTTTGGCTCGTAAGCCTTATCGTGCAATTATTCTGTTATTTTACGAATTTATATCTGTCTTTTCAGGATCTTCTAGGGGTAATAACTACTACTCGCCAGCTCAAACTCGTCAACCGGATAAGTTGTTTTTACCTTCCCACCATCATGGAACAAATCAAAATGGTTGCTATTACAATAGGGAAGATGTGTGGAGGAGGGATAATAAGCCTCGACAGATTCTAGAATCTTCTTCCATCAGAAATCACAGCTCTTCTTCTTACTTCACCACTTCATGGGCTCATCCCGTCCCACATTGGGCCAGCCCAACTAGTAGCTCGGCCCAAAAGCCGTCAACCGCATTCGAAACGCGCCTTAAACCTTTGTTCTCCCAAAGAAACAATGACACGTCCACCTCAGCATCATCGAAACAAGTAAAAATGCACCTGCCGTTGACCGGCGTTGACTATCTTAATAATGGTTCCAGAATTTTCTCAAATGGGCCTTGTCTGGCAGGCCCGAATAAGCCTGTGATCGATATTAACTCAATACCACAGGATACAAATGGAGAAAGCAAGCCCGAAGAAGACTGCCATCTACTTTCCTTGCCTTGGCTCAAGCCCAAGCCCAAGCCCAGGCCCGTAACCGATTCTAATGTTAACAAAATTCTCGGAATTCCCAATTTCGAAAAAAGCACACCTGCTGAGGCAGTAAAAAATGTCGGTAGTAATGAGAGGAAAAACGGGTTGATTGATATAAACATCGCTTGTGAGCCAGACGAGCCTGTTATTACTTCAGAAGAAAGAGAAACTTGTAAAAAAAATGTCGACTTTATCAGAGACCGAGTAATCGACTTAAACTCCTCGTGCCTAAGTGATTGCGAAGATTATCCACTGCCAAATAACGAACGAAGAACGGCCGCCAGCGTAAAAATAACCCTCGAAATCGACCTCGAAGTTCCCGTTTTTCTTGACAGCGAGGAGGAGGACGATAGCTTGCTCTCCAAGGAACACACGCAAGAAAACGAGCCAGTAAAAGACGAAATTCTTCAAAATGCAGCCGAGACTATGTTCGCCATCTCGTCAGCGGCGGGCCCACAAAACGAGGCTCGATTAGAAGTTTCATTGTCGGAGGCCATAAATTGGTTCGCGGATGCCATCTCATCATCGTGCCCAAGCCCGGGAAAAGAAATCGACGAATTCGAGGCCATGACTTTGGAAATTGTCGAGACGAAAGAAGATGAATACATAATGCCGAAGCCTTTCGTGCTCGAGATTTCGAAAAACGAGGAAGAAAACGAGGCGAATGGCTTAGGAATGAGGTCGAGGAGAGGACAGACGAGGAGGGGTAGACAGAGGAAAGATTTTCAACGAGATATTTTACCGGGCCTGACTACTTTATCGAGAAATGAGGTGACTGAGGATCTTCAGATATTTGGTGGGCTTATGCGGGCCACGGGCCATTCTTGGAATTTCGGGCCCACAAGGAGGAATGGGGGAGGGAGGGGGAGGAGACGGGCGGCAGCAAATGTGGCGGTCGAGACTTCTTGCTCGAGTCTGTTAATGAAGCAAATCGGTAATAATAATAATAATAATAATAACATTAATAGTAATAATATTATTAATAATAGTAATCGACCGGTTGAGGGTGGTTTGGAGGAGCAGAGGCTGGCTGGGTGGGGGAAGACGAGGCGGCCGAGAAGGCAGAGGTGCCCCGCGGGTAATATTTCGACGGTTGTGCTGACGTGATTGGGAAGAAAGGGGCATTTGCGTAATTTGCGTATTTTTTTTAA